AAATATTGTTGCAGTATGTGGTGAATACGCATACACCTGCTCTACTCGTGCATGCATAGACAAAATACATGCATCGATGCATGCATGCATGCATGCATGCATGCGCATGCAGATAGCTGCAGCACTTTGTGCGCATGCCATGCTGCGTGCTGCCTGCCCGCATGCATGCATGGATACATGCATGCATGCATAGATGCATGCATACATGCCTGCATGCATGCATAGATGCATGCATATATGCCTGCATGCATGCATAGAGGCATGCATACATGCCTGCATGCATGCACAGATGCATGCATGTCTGCATGCATGTACAGATGCCTGCATGCATGCACAGCTGCATGCATGCATGCATGCATGCATGCATGCATGCATGCATGGTTGCTGACCTCTAAGTAGCGGAACCTATCCCCCAAGTGTTCTCTGCTGATGATGGCGGTGAAGTGGCCGAGCCAGAGCAGCCGAAGCACAGCGGGCCGCACCGTCTGTGCTTCGCATGCTGCAGCACAGAAAAAAACGCATGCAACCGGGTGTACGTACACCCCGCGCTGCAGCAGAGGAAGCAATGCGCATGCATGCTCCTGATGCTGCTGCTGCTTGCGCTGCTGCTGCTGCTGCTGCTGCTGCTTCACAAGATGCTATTGTTGCTGCTGCTGCGTGTTGTGTTGCTGTTGGTGGTGCGGTGCTGCTGCAAGTGCTGCCCTGTCTCTCTATGGCTGTTGTGCGGCTGGGGTGTATAGGCAGCTCCAGTGTACAGACATGCATGCATGCATGCATGTGGCGCGCATGCATGCATGCATGCATGCATGCATGCATGCATGCACTCACTGATGAGGTCCCCCACTTTGGGCCTGAAGACAAGAGCCGTCGTTTCTACAGAGACAAACACAGTGCCGTCGTTGCAGTCTAAATCTGGCAGCAAGTACCCAATGGCACTCCTGCTGCTGCTGCTGCTGCTGCTGCTGCTGCTGCTGCTGCTGCTGCTGTTTCGTGTTCTGCTGCTGCTGCTGCTGCTGCTCAGCACGCCTGGCCGCGTCTCCGTAAACGCCAGCCACACTCCATCCAACTCAGGGACAAACCTGAACACAAACCAGCAGCAAACTGCATGCGCTACGCAGCAGGAGGCAGCAACAACCGCAGCAG